TTTCATTTTTGTCTTTATCCTGTTTAAGATTTAATAACCATGTTTGTATACTCACTGCCATTGAGTTGATGCCAACTTGTAGTGGGCTAAAGGAGCCCTGCTGGTGTAGTGGTTACTGTGTTGCCCTGTGATACACATGGTGAGCAGTTTGAAACCACCAGAAGCTTCGTGGGAAAACACTGGGCTTTCTACTCCTGTAAATAGTTACAATTTTGGAAACTCGTAGGTACAGGTCAACCCCCATCCTATAGGGTTGTTATGAGGAGGCATTGACTCAATGGCAGTGAGGACGATAAAACAATTCTTACTCAGCTCAAAGGCGAAACACATAGAGACTGGATCAAAGTGAAAGCGGGGAGCGTGACGTTGGCTGATCAAGCAAGGAGCATGATGGAACTAGAGTTACCAAGGCAGGCTCCAAAAAAAAAAAAAAGTGGGAGGGCTTCTGAGTTTTATACATGTACACTAGGAAGTAAATGGAGGGATTATGACTACAAAACAGATTTCCCAGGAACACTCATGAATATGCATTAGGAAAGTGTGTAGTCCAGGTAGACTGGAGAAACAAATCCAGAGACACTCTTATATGTGTAAAAGAGAGCTTTATATCAAGGAGTAATGGGATAGTAAGAAAACATCTCAGCGTACTCCAGATTAAGTCCCTAAGTCCGATATTAGCCCATATGTCCAATACCAGTCCATAAATACCTCTTTAGACTCACACAGTATATGCAATGGAAGATCACAGGCCAGTGGGTGGAAAGTCTTATGGATCCAGTGGCGGTGGAAGCCATGATTGGAACATGTACATTATGTTAGACAGAACAGATTGGTCTAGGGCTTCCAGCCAAGGCAGTCAGTCTATGCGACCCCCAATACTGCGCCCAGTACTGCGATCTTCATCAAGCTTGTAGCTCCTCCAGCTCTAGGGCTCTGGCTCTATCAGTGCAGCTCCACATGGTTTGTCTACAGGAAGATGCAGTGAAAGTTTGTCCAGGGAGGAAGACCAGGGTTCCCAGAATCCCCAGGAGA